CACCAGACTTTTAGCTGAACAGGGGTCAATCCACCAGACTTTTAGCTGAACAGGGGTCAATCCACCACAGGTTTTTTGTGTAATACAAATCCTGTACGTAGTAATAAAATTCACATTTTGTGTATCTATATTTTGTCTTTTGTATTAGTATTTTGTATTTTGCTTTTGTATTCTGTTTTCTGCATTACAGTATTCAGTATCTTTATTTAAAATCTGTGTGTATTTTCTGTAAAGAATTTTGTATTTTGGACCATGCACTAAACTACTGCACTCCTACACTTACCTAACATGGTTACTAGTGCACCCATTACGATACACCATCAAAACCATTTTTTCTTGTTCCCCCTGTCACCCTGTCCTATTGTACCTGTGCAGAATGCAACTGTTGTACAACAATAAGATTTCCTATTTTTCTAAAGTTTGGCCTGGAATAGTGCCTAGAATACTGCCTGAAGCAAGTTCCCAATCAATTTGAGCAAAAATAATTTCTATCCCGTCTTCCCGTCTTTTATGAGTAATTACTGGTTCCAGATTCCGCTGATAATCTTCTAATAATATACTTCTGCAGGTTCTATACACAGTAGACAAACCTTAAATATTTGCTGGTTATACAGGGTGTCCCGTACTAAGCATGATAGTTAATTTACTTTTATATTATAAAGGTTGTCCCAATAAACATGAGAATTAATAAACAGAATTAGATATCGTCTTTGTAAAGAATTAGTGTTGTGTTGCCTAATTTCAATGGTTAAAATAAAGTCACGTTTGCTAAATAATATTTTTTATATACAGCAAAAGACTGATTTGTTATTCTGCAAAACGTTGTTTGATGTTCTGTAACATTTCTGCAAGATAATCGGTGAAGAGGAATAATTGTATTGTGTGTTTGTTTACACGAATTTCTGATATTATTAAGTACAATATAGTATGCAATAAAAAAACATTAGCAAACAAATTCTGAACTCTAGCAGATAGATTATAGCTTTCCTCTTTGGCGTGACCATATTAAATCAAAAATCATTTACAAAGACAATACCAAAATTGTCACTGAATTCCCATGTTTACTTGGACACCCTGTACCTTCCTAGCTACCTCTGGGTTTGATATTAAACTAACAACTGCCAAACTTACTCTAACTTAATGTGACATCTTTTCTTTCTGTTTTGTAAACATGGATCTCAGCAATTGTGCAAATGTTTACCAACGTAATTTATTGTATTTTTTTGCAGGTTTTAACATCAGACGAATAAATGTTTAAAACTTACTGAATTTTAACAATTCAATCTATTCATCAACGAACTAGCAACTATGAACTACCTGATGATTACCTATAAACTATCTTTCAATACAGGGTGACCCTCAAAGGACTATATAGACTACATTACTGTACGTAACGTAATCAATCATTTTATTTTAATTCAAGATTCCTTTCACCTTTAATCTTGTCTCTTCAAGACACAAAACCAAATTCAGCTTTCGGATCTTTATATTCGAGTGCCATTAGTTTTGTGTAACCCTGTACATAAAACATGCCTTTACTCAAAAACAATCATCTTTTAAAAAAATATAAATATGCTTTAAACTAAACTTTGTTAATAAATTGATTTATTTACTGTTAAAAGCATTAAACTAGTCGCAATTACATGATTCCATTTAAATAATATATTTAATATTTTATACAATTTTACTTTATGTAAACTTATGGGTTATCAATTAACAGTCTAATTGGAAATAATTTTTTTTTGTGTGCAGAAAACATTAGAATTTGATTATTTAATAATCTCGTCTTCATACAAACTAAAAAACTTCAAGTTTTCTTCAATTCAAGCGTCCTCCGTAGGAAGTCCTTCATTAATATCATCCTCCCCATCTTCATCTGAAGTAAGATTTTAAACCAAATATAAAATATTCCCTTTCCCGTTAAAGGGAGTGTTCGCTAAAAAGGAAAAGGGGGTTAGGCTGAATCCTAATTAAATTTGGATTTGATCGCTACTAATTTAATTCTATCAGTTGCAATTATAGAGAGAAAAAGGTTGTAATGTAAATTGACTGATTCGGGTCATTCAAATGTATTTTACATCTAATAATAATGATATATTTAAAAAGCTCTATGATATTAAGGGAACTCAACATGTTCTCCCTAAAGGGACCGTTTACTTATTTGGGTAATTTCATGGTAAACTAATTAGCTTATTAGCATTTCATTGTTATAAGTCTAACTTTTCAAAGATATCTATGACCGGAGAAAAAGCCGATTTATCGTTCAGAATTCCGGCGGAAAGGTATGACACTTTTTGCATAAACACTATTTAAACAACAGTCGAAAAATATCTAAAATTATCTTATTTCAATGACATCATGTGTTATATAATATACAATAAAATATTGCGAACACTCCCTTTAATATTAAATCAACCCATACCTTGCTCGTCTGTTTCACTTGAACCATTTGGATTCTCGGCTAGTTTAATTATCTTCTTAAACTCAGAGAAACAAAGTTTTCCATCATTGTTAGAATCCGCCATATCCATATATTTACGCCAGGTTTTCTCCTAGATATAAACCATTACAACTCTATATCCATATATTTACGCCAGGTTTTCTCCTAGATATAAACCATTACAACTCTATATCCATATATTTACGTCAGGTTAATGACTAGATATAAACCATTAAAACTCTATATTCATATATTTACACAAGGTTATATACTAGATATAAACCATTAAAACTCTATATCCATATATTTACACAAGGTTATATAATTTTGAATTTAAATAATCATATGTTTCTTGATGTTTCAAGAAGTACATAAAGATATTCTATTTATTTATTTTTATTAAAAACTTACATCTTTTTGTCCATACCGTTTACCGAGGTACTTGATTGCCATTTTTAACTCCTGAAACATTAAATATTGGACAGGATGTAAAAATGTGTGAGATTTCTCTAACATTCTGTCAATAAATTCGAACATTATGTCTATTGTTTCGAAAAAAATGTTCAATATTACGAAAAAAAAGTTTGTTATGTCTAACAAATGTTCATCATTTCGATCAAAGTGTTCATTATTTCGAAAAAATGTTCATTATTTCAAAAAAAATGTTTATTCGAACAAAATGTTAATTATTTTGAACAAAATGCTCATTATTTCGAACATTGCGTTCATTATTTTAAGCAAAATGTTCATTATCTTAAAAAAATATTCAGTATTTCGAACAAATCGTTTGTTATTTCGAATAAAATGTTCATTATTTCGAACAAAATGTTCAATATTTCGAACAAAATGTTCATTTTTTGAACAAATAAAAATAATAATAATTGGATCTTACTGTTCTTGATATCTGTCCACTTTTATCAATATCCACTAGACAAATATAAACAAAATCAAATACTTTTATCAATATCCACTAGACAAATATAAACAAAATCAAATACTTTTATCAATATCCACTAGACAAATATAAACAAAATCAAATACTTTTATCAATATCCACTAGACAAATATAAACAAATCAAATACTTTTATCAATATCCACTAGACAAATATAAACAAATCAAATGAAAATCGTGTCTTGTGCAATAAAAATGAAAACCTGCAATAATAAATATTTTTATTGTCAGTTTGTTGCCAGCAGGGCACGATGCAGACAAATTAAAGAAAATAACTTTAAATATTCTAGATTTATTAGGAATAATATTACAGGCTTATTAATTTTTTTCAGAAACGATCGAAAAAAACTATCGTTTTTCGTTTCGTTTTTACTTTTTAAAAACGAATCACTCGTTTTGAACTTTCAAAAAAAACGTAAAACGATAGTTTTCTACAAAAATCGAAAAGCGATCCTTTTTGAAAACGATCGTTTTTAAAAAGAATATATTTCTTTAAAACGAACGTTTTTGAAATTTTTTCGTTAATGTATCTGTGTTTTTTGATAATTAATTTCAATTTTTTTCTCCAGAAAGATAAGGTTAGGAATGAATTACAGGGTGCATCTGACAGAATGAACTAACCAATTATGCTAATTTTATCACGAATTTGTACAACTCTATACAAAATATGATAAGAATAGAAACGGAGGCATAGACTTGCTTAGGAAGAATCAAATTCTCTTTGTATCTTCTTTATGCAGAAAAACAATCCATTGTTCTCGAACTGATTCGATCTACATTCTACATTATTTATCAATTATTCAGACTGGGTCGAATTTAAAACTCACAGATTTTTTATAGCAATGAATTGAAAGAAAATTGCCTAGATTTGTCAAGTTCTATAACTATCTAACCAAACAATACGTGAAGAAAAAAATTTGTTTGTATTTTCCTAATCTGAAAACTCCTTTAATATCGAGATCACTGATTCCAGGATTCTTCTTCTTGAACCTTGTCCAGCCTACAGATACAACTTCATCCATTATCTCCTAAATAAATACTTATTCTATTTATATTGCAAAAATTTTCATTTTTTTTAAATTTTGTATTAATCTGTTTTGCGAGAGATGCAACATTTTCGCGCAACAAAATTCGCGAAAAATACAAAAATTTTCGCACTTTTACATTTTCCCCATTTCAGATTAACTCTCAAAAAAGAAAAAAATTTCGCATTTTTATTAAACGAACGAAATGCGAAATAATTTGAAACTTTTGACAAATTTTTTTTTTCCCGTTTTTCTGGAAAACCTACACAACTGTAGAGTTTTTATTTATGTTTTGCTTGTCTGCCATGTGACCGTTGAATCCAAAAAACGTGAAACCAGTTGAACTGATTGGGCCTAAATTTGTTGTGGGACGTTACGTATGTATAAAATTATATTTTTCATAATAGCTGTATGTCAGATAAAAAGAAGGTATTCATATTTTTTCATATTTTTATTCAACTACTATTAACTAACTAAGGTAGTTTAAGTAGTAGTATAAAGTTTTGAGGCAAACCTAAAAATACGTATATTTTCAATTGTTCTAAAATGGTTTCGCTTGAACTAAATTGGATATTGTGGAAAATGATGAAAAAAGGCATTTTATACGTTCAGGGAAGATTAATATATGGTCAAAATCTGCATACATATAAGCAACAATTATTAGTTAAAATCGTAGCCTAGTATGTGTCTAGATGTAAAAAACTTACACAAAATGTATCAAACTCTAAAGTTGTATCCTTGTTCAGATTCAACCTTTTCAAAATCTTGTTCACCTAGATAGATTGATAGACAGTTAGATAGATTAATAAATAAATACATAGATAGATAGATAGATATATAGATAGATAGATAGATAGATAGATAGATAGATAGATAGATAGATAGATAGATAGATAGATAGATAGATAGATAGATAGATAGATAGATAGATGAATAAATAATTAAAGGGTGTTGAAAGAGTGTTCCCCAGAGATAAGAGTTTTTATTCAGAGCATGCAGGGTTGACCAAATTCAGTTATTGTTTAATCATGTAGTCCTGACATCCTAGAGACATTGGATATTATAATTTCTTTCTGATCGGCTAATAATTAAGCTTGTGAGAGAAAAAAGTGTGACGTGTTAGGTTTTTTTTCAACACAGTTTAGTGAGCCAAATAAAAGAATAATTAGCTTTGTTTTAGTCAACAAATTTTAAAGTTTTTCCAATATTTTTAAAAGTTATTTTCAATTTTTGAAATTCACATGGCCCCACACAACATCCGTAAAGCTCTTTTTTAATCAAAATTAAAAGGAAAAGAATAATGTGATAATATAAAATTAATATCCAATCCCAAAATTTTATTAAAATTGGGTTGAATAATTAAAAGATATATCAATAAAAGATCACTAAAACTTAAATAAAATGGAACAACATTATGTTCCATGGACCAGTTGCAGATGTCTCCATTTCCATTGACTGCTAGTAGCGTCGTTGATGTATACATTATTCATTTATAGCATCTCTTAAACCATGTCTTGTTATATTAATTGATTAAGGCCCTTTATAACGATAAATAGATTTAGTGATCAAATAAAAACAATTTAGAGTTGAAGTAAGCAGTTAAAATAAGTTGTATTAAGATAGATTATATATATCAAGAAATATATAGACCAATCAAATCTGTGTACTGCAGTGGGTCTGGGAGGAGATCAAAACAAAGAATTCAGGGGCAACGCATCATTTTTGAGGGAAAAGGGCCCAAGGGATGGAATACGAATATATTGCTATTGTAATTTCCATATTGACCAGAATGCCAAAAATCATAAGTAATCGCTTTAACTTGATAAATTAACTTGTTTTTTTGTTGGACTGTAATATCACATCAGAGCTTTAGTCCTTTCCCTTCAACTTCTGTGGGGGCACTGGGTTTGTTTACATTCCTCCCACAATTTGCGTATATCTGAGTTGGGCGTTCCTGTATATAGTTCCTTGATATAACTTATAAATTATAAATTATATAAAGAAAAAAGGGGAGGAGAGGCGAAAATTTAGCTACAATAAAAGCTTTCTTTTTTTACCAACATATTTTCTGTTTTATTTTGCTCTTTTATATAAATTAATTAAACATACTGTAAAAGACTTAACGTACTGTGTATTTCAAATTTATAGTTTGAATAAAATGAGAAGAAAGTGCGGTATTTTTTAATCCAGAAAAAATTGTATACAATTACTGCAAAAATACAATTTGAGTATTATTATTGTTTTAATTTCTTCCTTAGCCTTTTCTTACAAAAGCTAAAATGTAGAAATGATCAAAAATATATTAATTGAAACTTTATTGAACCTTTCTGATATTATGTCTGTAAGAAAAGAATGAAAGAAACCAACCTCAAAGTTTCGATCCATGTCTGAGTTGACAGATTTTAGATAATCAACAACTTCCCTAAACAGATATTTTAACCCTATCCTTGTAGGATAGGGTTAAAATAT